CCCCCCCATCCCCCTGCCCAGTATTCCCAGTATTCCCAATGGCTTCAGCATGTAAGGACCCCCTGTTTCCCCTTACCTGCTCCTGATATTCCCAGCATTCCTGATATTCCCAGTATTCCCAATGGCTTCAACATGTAAGGACCCCCCATTTCCTCTTACCTGTTCCCACTATTCCCAGCATTCCTGATATTCCCGGTGTTCTCAATGGCTTCAGCACGTAAAGGACCCCTGCTCCTCATCCCTTTGCCTGCTCCCAGTATTCCCGGTATTCCTGATATTCCCAGTATTCCCAACGCCTTCAGCATGTAAGGACTCCCCATTTCCCCTTACCTGCTCCCGCTATTCCCAGTATTCCTGATATTCCTGGTATTCTCAATGGCTTCAGCGCACAAGGACCCCCTTTCCCTGCTTCCCGTATTCCTGATGTTCCCGATATTCTCAACAGCCTCAGTGTATAAGCCCCACTCCCAGTATTCCCACTATTCCTGGTTTTCCCGGCATTCCCATTTCCGGAGTGCCGCATCCCTGCTCTTCCCCGCAGCCTGGCCCTCACCAAACTCGACATCCTGGACACATTCCCGGAGATCAAAGTGGGAGTGGAATATCGCTTGGACGGGAAACCCATTCCCTACTTCCCAGGTAAGGAAGCAGCCGGGACAAAACACAGGGAACGCCGGAATCCCGGGATGCTCCGTGCAGCCGGCGGGGGCTTTTCCCTCCAAATCCCGCCCCCTTTCCCGCATTCCCACAGCCAGCCAGGAGCTGCTGGACCGCGTGTCCGTGCGCTACGAGACGCTCCCGGGATGGCTCCGGAGCACGGAAGGAGCGCGCGGATTTTCCGAGCTCCCGCCCCAGGCCCAGGGCTACGTCCGCTTCGTGGAGCAGCACCTGGGGGTGCCAGGTGGGAACAAGGGGATTTTGGGAAGCGGGAAGGGAAAAAAACGGGATAAACCGCCCCCCTCCGACTCCCTTTTCCGTATCCCGCGCAGTGAAATGGGTCGGAGTCGGCAAATTCCGCGAATCCATCATC